CTCATTTTTCTCAAAATTATTTTCAATTTCATCCTTCACCTATTTTTTTTATTTTTACATTAATTTAAAATTCAAAAATATAAAAAATTATATTTATAAATTAATTTTAAATACATTAAAATTATTTGGGCATTACAATCAGCTTGATTTGTACTAACGTCGTTTTTTTTAGAGGATGGTATAAATATATGTGGAAGTTTACATGCGATGTTTTAAAAGTATTGAGTGGTTGAAGAAATGTTGGGTACATGTGCATGTGTATGCGGGCATGTGTGTTTTCATTTTGTGTTTGTGTTTGTGTTTGTGTGTGCAAAAACATATATATTACACGTATCATTTTTGCAAGAAGCAGTTCCCAACTAAGTGAGGTAATTCATCATGCTCGATAATGATCATTGTGGTACATAATCTCAAGGTATAAATAGATAATAACTAGTTATATGATATATATTAATTACTTTATATTTAGAAGATGGGATATATATACTTAAAGGTTGAGCTTGATTGTAAAACTTTTAAAAGTAATTGAGTAGTTAGAACTTATATGACTATACACACACACATACATTTGTGAATATATAGATTTCTTGAATTCATTTCTTTATAAGAGATAAATATCTTACATAACGGAAGATTCAACCGAATTTTTAACAAAATTAGTTTGTGACTATTATAAGTATGTTTTACTTTTCTTCTTTAGTTATTATTTTATGATATTTACTTCACATATAACCCATGAAAGATTACATTATAATAAGTACTTTAAACCCAATTGAGTTGAAACATTCACCGATTTTTTGGATTTGCCCTTTAAGTTACAATTAAGGAAGAATAATCTATTAATATGGATGGTAATAAGTTATGAGTATAGTTAGTATTAACTTATCTGAGAAGCGATGTATTTTAAATTATGAGAAACCTTTATGAGAGTGGGTGGTAAACTCTACATATTATTTAAAGGATTATGAATTAATATAGTTTTGGGTGAACTCAAAATACATAATTTATAATTTGGTCAATTCCTTGTTGGTAAATTCTTGTGTGCATTTGTAGAATTATGTTTCAATAGAAGTCACGAATCTAATAAATTTTTTCTTATCTTGCTACAAAACTCGATAGTTTTGAGTCCTATCTATTCGTTACTATTTGTTAAGAATTTAATTTCAATTGACAAAAGATATTAATGAAAATAATTTGTATAAAGTGTTCAAATACGATAAATTAATTTTATAAGGAAAGAAGAACCGTCGTACATTTTAGACCATTTATTATAAATAAATAAATAAAACCTTCACTCTTTGCACTCGAAATGGGGTTAAATCTTAAGAGAAATATGTTTTATTTTCTAAATCCTAATACTAACCTTAATATGGTTCAATCCCAAACTTGTAGGATTTTCAAATTACATAAAACCCAAATAGAATTTGTTAATTTAATATAAAAGTTAGTTATTTTTTTATTATATAAAACTAAAAAGAAGAACATTGATTGTGAAAAACTATAATTTCTTGTAACTCACTAATTATAAAGTGTATTAAAGTTTTTGAATATTTGAAAGTTTGTATTATTTTATCATGTTATTCATTGTTACTATTAAAATATAGAATATATTTTTGTAGATATAAGTAAAATAAATCATGTTATTTTATACTATTTATTCTTTAATTTTTGTATGATTCCTTGATACTTATCTTTAAACAATTTTTTTTTTGTTGATAAAGTAACCAATATTTTTAATTGAGAGAATTTTTTTAACTTTTAACTATTTAAAAATCTTATTTAACATAGTCAGTATAATTATTATAAGAGTTTGTGTCTATATAACGTAGTCTCTTATTAAAAAAATTAACTTAACATAGTTTAGGAGGGTACATTTTTCGGTCATAATTAAAATAAAATTAAAATTTTTTAACTTAAAAGATAAATTTCAAATTCTAACTAAAATAAATTTAAAATTTTTTTACAAACTAATATTATTCATCTGATCATATACTCATACATATATATTTAACTGTAGAATTGATGATACGAACTAAAAATTATATTCCTCAATCGATTAAAAAAAAAATGACCTCACACATATTAATATTAATTACTCTAACTTTAATTAATAGCTAGATGTTCTTCAAGAATTGTTGCCAATGTTTATTTATTGATCGAATAAAGGATTGAATTAAATGAATGTCATGTTTTGAAGAATCATTGCAAAGCCCTCTAGAACAATAGTTTTTTTAAAAAATCATTGCAATAGAGTAAATATTTTTATCGATCCAAAATATTTTATAATATATTGGTAAGTTCTATAAGAAAAAATTAAAGAAAGAAAAAAATAAGGAAAAGTGAATTTATATCGTAGCAAAATTTAATTTGATTAAATATTAATCCGATGTTATTATTTTAATTAAAAAAAATTAATTATTATAAGATAATATTTTAATTAAAATTATAATAATTTATTACAATAAAATATAATTTGATTAGTATAAATTTATTAATAAAATAATAAATTAAATATTATAAATCGATTTCATATTTAAATGCTAAATATTCTCACACGAAAAATAAAATTATTATATTTTTTAGTGATATCAAAATAAAAAAGACATGGAAATAAGTTTGAAAATGACAAAAAATTTACTTTTTTAAATATATATATTTAAATTAAAAAGCTTAGCCAATCCCTTGCAATAAAGAATCGGCACGACGTCGTTGTAATCTCCGTGGCAAACCAACGCAAAGCATTTCCATTGCGTGACCGATCGAATATGCCACCCGGTACAAGTTTCGCGGGTTCTTGGGTCGCACGTGGCAAACCCGACACGTGTCATAAGTTTGTTATAACCACGTACCTTCTTATTCCTCTCCCTGCTCTGCAGCAATAACTGAAACCTCCATTTCTTCCTCTCCATGCCAACATTTTCTTGTTCTTGTTCTTGTTCTTGTTCTTGTACGATACCTGTCTGTTGATACACCCAGCTGTATAATGACGAGGCTGGAGCGCATGATTGTGTATGGGGCGACACAGGGTTACAGTGTGAACACGTGGTGGGATGATATCGATGAATCGGAGAAATGGCAGCAAGGCATATACTATTCCTTGGCTGCAACTTATGGCCTCGTCTCCTTTGTTGCATTGGTAAATAAATATGTATATATATACATATATACACATCTATGCATTGTTTCTTTTATGTAATCTTGTCTTGCATCAGTGGCGTATTAATCAGCGAGGACGGCAAATGTGTTTTAACATTATTTGTGAGAAAAAGTTGGGATGGGTTTTTAGATTTTTGTTCTGGAAACAGGTTTAAATTCAATATATGTTGGCATAACGTCATGGATAGGTCGCTTTTAGCGTCTCTTCTGAAACTTTCTTGAATGGGCTCTCTTTTTAGTAACCTATTTTAATAAATGAAGCCAATCTGCCTTGTGTAATCTTGTCTTGCTTCTAGTTGTGGTAATGAAATAAATCTTGGGTTCCCTTTGGTTGGTGGTTAGCTAGAGTGATTGGCCTCTATTCTTTGTACAGTCTGAGTCGGTTGTCCCAAGTATCTGACCTCATATGATTGCTATTGCTTCCTTTGATTTGGTTTCTTGTTTCTATTTGATTGCTCCTTCATTTTGCATAGGCTCGAATGGACAATCTTCGACAGTTTTTCCTCTTATTGTTCTTAGCTTGATATTTGCTTCCAAGAATGCGGCTAAGTTTGCTATGTCAAGATTTCTTTAAATGAACTATATCAAGATTTATAATATTCTTCTTGATGCCCAGACATTTGTACTTTAGCACATAACTGGTGTTAAGAGAAATCTCAAGGGATTCTTTTTGTTAGTTTCTGCTGGAATAGTAACTCCTAGTAGTTTCCACCTTCTAAGACTTTCCTCTGATTGGTATCTTATTTTAAAACTTAGTTGCTATCTTGGTATCTTATTTTTAATTCTAAGTTCTATTAAGCCATCTATTAGGTTCATTATTTGGATCGTAAACAATAGTTTGGAATTTAAATCTTTTTGGTTCTTGTTCTTTTCCCGCTGAAGAGAGATCTAGGATTCAAATCTTTTTATAGCTACAACAAGAATATCATGCTATAAATTTCTAATAACTCACTTAATGTATTACAAGTTCTCACAGAAGATAATCAATATTTAAAAAAAAAGAAAAAAAAGAAAAAGAGTGTTTCTAATCAATTGGAACACCCACATCTTCCATTTTACCCATAACTAATCTCAATTTGAAGGAAGTTTATTAGGATATAAACTTTTCACTCTCCTTTCGCTACCTTTTCCCTATTAACATCTTTAGAATCATACTCTGCCAACTTGCCCCCATTTTTCTTAATTTTGGTCCCCAATTTTAGAGATCCAGATCGAGAACCAAATGAACCCAAGCGGACCCTTATAATAAGCAAGATCGAAAAATTTTATACATACGTCACAGGGGGCTTGAGCAGCCCCGATAACTATGTGTTTGGCCACATTTCTTCAAATCCAGGCTGGCTGAGGTGTTTATTTGCCTGTGGGTGAGAAAAAGGACAGCCAGGAACTTCTCTTCTAGTGGTAGAAGATGCTGTTTAGTAAGAATCAGCAAATGTTAATAAATCTAGCCAAACACATAGAAGTTGTCATATCTGTTGGTTGGCATAATTGCAGTCCAACTGAAAAATAGTCTTGAAACCCACTTAAAGGAATTTCAATCTCTTGATTTATAGTGAGAGGACTCTTGGTGCTAATTATTCAAATTAATGACTTTTTCCATCGAACTTATCTACCTTGATTCCATTGTTTCTTCTAACTGGTTACTTCATGCAGGAGGCCCATAGCTTACATTGCATAGATGCATAAAACCATCACATGAAATCGTTGGCCTATCTCTCACTGATTTCAATTGAGCATCTTGAAAATTGTAGGATGCCAGCTCAACCTTTTCTTCTTCAGGTGTGTGTTGGTGTCAGAGAAAAAAATGCTCTCTCTCATTAATCCAACCCAATTGATCTAACTTCTCCATTATGCTTGGGGATATCCAACATAGAGCATTCTGGGAAAACGAGAATGCTTCATGTGCTTCTGAAGGAAATTAAAATTTCCTATGCTGTTTAGTGTAAAATTTCCCAAGCGATTGTTCTCCCTAATTGGTTCTGCATCAGCTTCTGCTACTGGACCTCTTTTGCATCACCTGCCTCTTTAAATGTTGCCTTGACTGGAATTGCCTTTGCCTGCTGAGACATCCAATTAATAGATCCTTTGATTATTCACCTAGAGTACAAGCAAATTCTTGCCATTGTGCTGCAAACACTGCCTTGTCTTGCTCCTGCTCAAGACATGGTCTTATGCTGCAAGCACTGCCTTGTCTTCCTCATGCTCAAAACACAGGCTTGTATCCTATCCTCGTGATAGGTTTGAGGAAAGATTCAACCAGATGCCTCTGATATCAAATCATTAAGATCTCTATTTTGGGATCTTGTTACAGGCCTGTTACCACTGGAATCCATAAGAAGAGAAGAATGGTGTTATAGACTCTTTTTGTGGTCATTCTTATTGCAGAAAAGGCAAATAAGGAGCTGATATGGTTTAGGTTTATTCTATTTTGGAAACCTATTTATTAGTTAGGAAAGCTTATCCCTTATTTAGAAATTAATTTTTATTATATGGTTAAGGTTAATTCTATTCTAGAAACATATCTCTTAGTTAGGAAAATTTATCTCTTATTTAGGAATTTAATTTTTATTTTGTAGATTTATCTCTTAATTAGGAATGTTCTTTATTTTTGCTATGAGAAATCTAAATAAAAAAAGTTTCCTATAATGTAATGCATCTAATTCTATTTAAATGACTCTATATTTAATAAAGAGGTAAGCAGAATAATAATTACAATATAGAGATTTGAGCTCTTTCTAACGAGGTCCAAGGTGTCAAGCTTCCTTTGATGAGTTTGGAAATAATTCACAATAGGTCGCTCAAGGAATCATAGCAAGAGAAAAAAGCAAGATCCAGAATCAGATTATCCGGTGAACCGCTCGGTGACAAGATCCTGGTCTTAAGAACATAACAAATGGTTTCTAGATCTTTATCAATTAGCACCTATTTTCATTGAGAGCTATGGGCCCATTTGGAGTGAACTCTGTGATCTCTTTGAGTAAGAAAAGTATTCCAACACTCTTCAAAACTAATTCTCTGGATAAAATCTTATTCAAAATGAAGTAGCCTTTTAAGGCTTACAACAGGAGGCACATAGCTGCATTCCAAACTTAAAGCTGACACATAACTGACAGTAAGCCGCCAAATAAAAGGCTAAAGTGCACACAAACAAAATGACGTATATAAATTGATATTGTTGATGTTAACATATTAATAACAGATTATGGAAATTCCTATTAGCTTAAACTTTTAGGATAATTGGCTCAATCAAATTAGATGAGATGTTATCAGACTTTGAACGTTAGGAACCTTGTCCACCTGCTATTGGTTGTTGACTCATTTTTTTGCCTACTTTTGGACCTCAAAGATTGTGCAAAGCCCGTCAATCTCCATTTTTTTTTGCACTTTGCTTCAGGGCTTCTGTGTATTCCTCCTTCTTTGAGTTTAACTTCATTTATTAAGCTTAAAACTTCACCTGCATGTGAGGGGGTCTGTTAACATATAAATAATAGATTGTGCATATTCCTGTCAGCTTAAGTTTATGGTATAATTGGTTCAGTATATTATTTAAGATTTAAATCTAAAATAAACCTAAGGATAAATAGATCAGATTAGGACAGATTCAGGAAGTTGCTGACTAATTTGCTGACCAGGATCATAACAGATTTTGGTTCTTGTTGAATAACAATTGATTTAGTGGTCAACAATTCCAAAGATTAAGTTAGTAGGAAATGGTCTTTATTATATATATTTTAGCAAGTCTCTTCACTTGCAAGCAAGATATTGAGTTCGACATTGCAAAATAAGAACCCAAATTAATGCAAGTCATAGACAGAAGACAAGCTTGGCATGAATGCCAAATTATGTAAAAAAATGGATGAATAGAGAGGAGAGAGAGAGAGAGAGAGAGAGAGAGAGAGAGAGACAGAGACAGAGACAGACATACATACATACATACAGAGAGGTTTCCACCATTGCAATCGATGATGAAGTTCTCAATCATATTATTGGATAACTGATCAGGTGACTAATTTTCCCTTTTTTCCAATGAGTATGCCACCTTATCCCATTGCACTATTTGTACAAGATAGTGATTGGCTTTGACATTGTACAAAATTGCTGATTCATGGTTGGTATTTTGTATATTGTTAGCTAACACAACTTTTAGTTTGAGGATACATTATGGTGTAATAAATATGTTTATCATTATCCTGCATGATAAACATAGAATGCAACAATTTTTGATGTTTAGAGTGCTTTTGATTATCAGATACAACTCTTCCGCATTCAGATGAGAGTACCGGAATTTGGATGGACTACACAAAAGGTCTTCCACTTGATGAATTTTCTTGTCAATGGATGTAAGGATTGTGTAGAATTTGTCATGGATCCTCCTGTATCTGCTATATAAAATTGCTGAAGACTTTGATTGTTTCTGACAGTGAGGGCTGTTCTCTTTGGTCTCTACCAGAGTGTTTTTCTTCTCAGGTCAAAGGTTTGATATTCACAACATCAGTCACTTCTTTCCTTTTGCTGAGACACAATCTTGTAACCTGAACTTCAGTTTATCTGATTTTTCAATTGAAAGAATATTTAATATATGGTTGTTTGCTTTTTCTTTTTCTATTGGATTCGGGCACAACATCCTGAATACAAACACATGACCTTGGCTGCATACCTAAACAGCAAGAAAGTCATAAATAATTTTGTTGGTTTGAGAGAATAAGAGCGTGATATATATGTGCAAATAAGTGATGTTTATTTTAACTGTCCAGATTGTGGAAATAGCATGTCTGCCTTGGAAAAATTCAATATCCTTAAAAGAAGCTTCTATATTGGCAAAAATGTTTTTGGGAAATCAGAAATTATTTAAAAATTATGTTAAATATAGTAGTGAAGCTGACTGATTGCATCTATTCTTTTAAAGTGAATTTATTAATTGTTAATTTTTAATTTAATTGGCTGAAATTTACATACTTCCAGAGGGAATATGTGTCTTCTGTATGATAAACACAAGGTGGACTAATAGCTCCCTTCTTAAGTTCGTATATTTCCTTTCCTCATAGTTCATGCAAATTGTGGCTTTAGGTAGGGGGTATTAGAGCAGTCAAATACTGAAGTGCTTGAAGAGAAGCACAAATAGCCACAAAGTGGCATTTGCAGAAGCAAGGCAACCAAAAAGCTCTCTATCAGTTATTTTGCCAGATGCAAACTATCGTACTTTAGTTTATGTCATCATTTCATGTTTTTGACTTTAATGGAATTTTCATATCAACATTTCATGTTTTCCATTATCAATCCCTTCTCAGTTTCTGTTTTGTCATCATTTTCTTGTCAGTTGCTTGTCTTAAAATATTATTCTTGTACAGGCACTCGAAATGGTGCTTTTGGATCTTCCTAGTCTTCTATTTTTCTCCACATATACCCTACTTGTCTTGTTCTGGGCTGAGATATACCACCAGGTATTTTTCTTTCTTTTTGTGTTAAAATACCACCAGGTACACTGATTAAATTTTGTATAAGACACTATTGTAAACTGAGTGTTTATGGATACTGACCATGATTGTTTTAGGCAAGAAGCCTTCCAATTAATAAACTTCGGCCCACATATTACATCATCAATGGAGTTGTATACATTATCCAGGTAAGAGAAAAAAAGAAGTTTTATGATCCAATTTTGGTCCCAACCTGGCCCCAACAAAAGATAGAACTGTCTCATGGTAATTACAGCTTCTAGTTGTTTGGTTTATCATCCCATGGCACAGGTATGCATCTGGATTTCTGTGGCATTAAGCCGAAGCCCTGTTGCAGTGGAGCTTGCAAAAATCTTCCTTTCAAGTAAATACTACTGACTCCTTTTCGAACCTTTCCTGCTTGTAGATTTTCAGTTTTTGCTCCTAATTAGTTTCCATCTACAACATTAAATTATGATTCAAACTGAAGTTATTTACACTAATTCAAACTAAACGTAATTCACAATGATGTAATGTCTGGTCATGTTTGATGATGTGCTGAATTTTCTTTTTATTTAAAAAAAAAAGTGCTGAATTTTCTTGGGAAAGTACTTATGTGGATAAATAAACTATTGATAAAAAATTTCTATTTGATTTTTTTCTGCAGTCATTTCACTCTGTGCTGCTGTGGCATTCTTGATATATGGTGGGAGGTAACTGCTGAGGTTAACAAAAAGGCAGTTTTCAGATTCCTCCATTATATGCTCATGTAAATCACTTCTGCCTATAGGTTGTTTGTCATGCTGAGGTGCTTCCCAATTGAATCTAGAGGTCGTCAAAAGAAGTTATATGAGGTAATCCATGGTGCCACTTTGAGCTGTATTAGTGCTTGGTGTACATAATTAAAGTATGTAGTTTCTAACTTCTATCTACTTCTAGTAAGCTAACACGCCTCTTCACTTTAAGAGGATAATAAGTTTATCACATAAGCACAAATAAAAAGGTGCAAGTCAGACACAGATTAATAGATTTTACATAAAAGATCTAATTGTGGGCAAAAGATGGGTGAATATAACACAAGGAGCTGCAGTTTACAACGTTTGCATATAAATCCCTTTTTCTATTATACTGTGGCTGACTGAATTGTAATTACTTAACTGGTCGATTTAGGAGAATTTGTAATCCTGATTCAGGGCTAGAAGGACATGAATCATAAATACAGCATTGCATGTAATGACTAACTTCATTTTTAAGATCATAGTACCCTTAGTCACCTAATAAATTGACCAATTTTCTGTTATTTTGAGTTTGAATATGTGATAGAAAAAAATTAACAGTTACGATATAGCTAGATATTTGGAAATTTTTCAATAAATTGAAAAAAGTTTTAATTCTTTGAAATTTTGCATAAAAATATAAAATAAAATCAAGAATTAAAAAGTTTTTAGAATAATTTAAATGAAATTTTATAATTTTATGGAATTAAATAATATAAAATAAAATTAAAATATAATATATATAAGTTTATTGACTAAAATGATTAAGTGAAATTCTATCAATTTATTATGTAATAATATATACATCTAGTTATATATACATCATATATATACATCTAGTTGTCCAAGTTATTTATAACTTATTATAGTTTTACTACTATCAAACCAAATATTGTAATAAGTTATTACTAGTTGCAAACCAATATTGTAGTTTAATCATGATTCAATTACAATAATATGTCATTCATGCTGGATTATATTCTTCTCCTATTCATTCGGTTAATAAATGTGCAGTTTTATGTTCACGCGGATATATTCATCTAGTTGTCCAAGTTATTTTTAACTTTCCTAGTTTTATTTAAACTTTTAATGCTATCAAACCAAGTTTTGTAATGAATTATTACTAATTGCAAACTAAATATTGTAGTTTAATCGCAATTACAATATTATTTCATTCATGGTGGATAACTATTATATTCTAGTTCTATTCATTCAGCGAATAAATGTGCAGTTAATACTTTCTATTGGCAAATGATGTTGGAGTTTGACATCATGTTTCTTTTTATGTTGCTCTTCCAATGGGATTTTTTTTCTTCAATTGGTCATAAGTTGCATAATTAATGTTATACATATTTATATTATAATTCATTTATATCATTTACTTTCATTAGGGGGTTGCAAATGGAATATAAGAAAATAGCAAAAAATTTGTGATTAAAAAGATCGCGATTCCCAACTTATCTATCTGCCTGACAGGTTGGCTGTGTTACGGGAATATGCTGTTCTTGTTTCTTGATAAGATGCTTTGTGGTGAGTGCTACTTGATCAAACCTCTAGTAATTACCTAAGGTTCTTGCATCTCTAACAAATATCTATTTAAGTTAGCATCACTTCCTTTGTATCTTTGACCATCATTGTATCTTTTCTGCCTTATATTTTAGGTTACCCTTTCTGCCTTTAACAAGAATGCAGACCCTGATGTGCTAAATCATCCACTCCTCAATCTAATCTATTACACGGCAAGTTCTTGCTTCTCGATATTAGATTGTGTGTTACTATCCAATGTTCTATTTAGGTATAACACTGCTTATGATTGAATTTTTTACTCACATGTGGTGTTTGGGACCATTTTGTGAGGGGTTGTCGATGGATATGTTCAGGTCAGGCTTAAGTCGACTAGTTAAAGATTTTAGGTCATTCGGGTTATTAGGTTATGCAACATCAAGTTTGTTTGAAGTTTGGAATTTAACCATAATTATATTTAAGTTTAACCATAATTATATTTAAGCCTTTTAGCTATACTTGGATTTTTCTTTTCTGGGTCATTTCAGATAGTAAATCATTTAAGTATCCACTTTCTTTCTTAACATCAAGTATCTGACTTATCAGATATTTCAGCTGTCTATAAAATTGAGTAGCTTGGTTTTATGTCTGGTTTATTCAGGTCATAGGGAGGTTTTGGTTTTGGGTCAGTCATCAGGTTTTATTAGTTTAAGCCAGTTCTGGCCCTCTCTGCCTGCATGATAGGAATTTCAAGTCCTTCGAGTATTTAAATTTCCAAAGAGAATGTTCTATCCAGTTAAACAATTCATGTGAGAAAACTTTTGGTTGTTTATATCCTGACTGTTGAGCAGACGGTAGAGATTGTTCCGTCCGCATTGGTTCTATTCATCCTGCGAAAGCTGCCACCTAAGCGCATATCTGAACAGTATCACCCTATCAGATGATGACGATAGATAGATGCTCTCTGCCTCTTTTTATCTCTTTCTAGACTGAAGACTCACTTGTGGATTTGGAAGATCATATGAATGTGCTTTGATCAGTTGCCTGGTTCTGTCAAAAGGATTTCTATGACTCACCCAGTTGTGTATTTCTTGTTTGAATCCTTGTCAACTAGAATTGTTATTGTGACAAATCTTCAACTTCTGCCTGCCAGCATTTTTTTAAATCTTGGATGGATTCCATCTTATAATTCAAGTACAAAATATACACCCAAGTTAGTGTTACTAGATGCTTGTTTCTTATTGTTATTTCTATTTTTTCTATTAAAAGAGAATTATTTTACAAATAGAATATTTTATCAAAATTCTAAAATTAATTTTGAGATAAAATAGTGCCTTACAAATTGGACAATATTTTAAAGGGAAGTAAATTTCTTTTTAATTAAAAATAAGTAATTTCTTTTACAATAAAAAAAATAATCATCCTTAGAAAATCCCATATCTACAAATCTTTCTTTCTGAAAGTCCCTGAATCTCTCTTTTCCAAATCCAAAATTCATAACATCTGATTTGAAGATGTTCACTAAAAAGTATAAAATAAAAAATTTATGAATTCTTTAAGAAAGAAATCAGTATTATTGTTAAGTTTCGAGTATGATTGTATGATTTTTTGTTATGATACTATTGGTAATTACTATAATGAAACTACATGTATTTCTTTACAAGTAATTTTGATTAATGTATAAATTTTAGTAGAAACCCAAATTTACATCATGCACAAATACAAAAAATATATATATATATATATATATATATTTTTACTAAATACTTGAAAACAATTGGAGAAACACAGTATGATCTTATAGCTTCACTCATGTCTCAAAGGACCTGCAATTTAGGAGCCCAAAAACCTGTCTAGTGAATATAGACTTCAAAGGGATATTATTTGGTACATATTTTTTGAACATTGGAATGTTCTATATACATTGTAATCATGTCATGCCAATTATAAATATTATAGAACCCAATGAAACAAGAGGATAGGTAGCCACTGTCATACTGAATAAACCAGATAAAATCAACCGTGTAAAATATTATATTTGAGAGCGGATGATTTAGCACATCAGGGTCAGCATTCTGGTTAAAGGCAGAAAGGGTAACCACAGAGCATTTTATCAAGATTCAAGTACAGCATACGATAATCTGAGAGGCTAGCAGGGAACGTTGCCAGGCTATTGATAATCTGAGGAAGAAGGTAAATATTCTGGTTAATACTTGTTAGTTTTGCTGAAGAGCCGAAGAGACTTATAATCATCTTTTGCTTTGGTGCCTTGTAATTCACAAATTATAGATTATGGTTCATGATGAACTGCTTTGGATCAGTTGGGTCGTGGCAGAATTGAGGGAAGAAATTTGAGCATAGAAGGGCATCAGTAGCGGAAGGAAGGAAGCAAGTGGAGATTATACTTCTTATCATACTTTGGATAATGTGGAATTAGAAAAATAGAAGAGCTTCCAATGGGATTTTAGGATACTGATGATTTTGATATATTTAAAAACAGATGGTTCCAGACCCTGAGTTTTTTTTGCAATGAGATTATTTTTTGTTGTTCTATAAAAAATTTATCGAATCTTATAGGTAATTTAATTGATATGTGATTTTTTTGTACATGGGTGACACCCTTTTAGTGCTTATAAATATATACTTCACACTTTATATTTTACAAGAAAAAAAAAAAAAAAAAAAAAGAAACAAGCAGAGCATGTGAAATTAAACTGAGAACAAAATAGAAAAAAAAAAATAAAATAAAACTTATTTTTTTCCCATTCAATTCAGTTTTAAACCCTTCCACCACCAACCAAAGGAAAAAAGAAAAAATGTCTGGATCTCTTAAAAAGTAATAGCACCTTCTTCACATGCAGCATCCCCCACGGTTATCAAATAGAACTAGAGAAATTACAAACACATACACTTTCATATTTCTGCAGCTTATTTAATTTATTTTTAAGATATTTAAAATTTAATTATTAGGGTTTTGAATTCATCAAGATTTTAATCCTAAAAATATAACTAAACTTTAACAGGAAACCAGAATAAAATTACTAACCAAATATTTTAACCAGAAATCATGCGGTTGAAATTTAATTACTCTAATCATGGGTAAAAAAGAAAACTAGCGATACTCCTTTTCTTTTCACCGGGACATCTCTTCTTCCCCGGCGTTTTAAAAATAACATTATCTTGTTAATGGAATGCAACTGACTACTTCAAAATTAAACTGAAGCTGGCTGACAACTGAAATTTAAAGTAAATTTTGATACTCACCCTTTCCAAAAGATAAACATTATAATGCCAAAATAACTTTATAAGCACAACTAATAAACCTGAATTACAATTAAACTTCTAAAGAACAATCAAACCAATAAATCTTCCACAAAAACTGTTCTGAGATAAACACTACTCCACGTCCCTTCAATCAAAAAGGGGAACCAAATATGAAACACTAAAATATAGATTCAACTCGCTAGCAATATGGAGGAGCAAACCCACAGTAACACGATATTATTCACCTATGCTAGTTCGGTATATATATGTACAAACAAAATTAAGTTAGAACCCCCATTTACCCTTGCCATTGAAGTAATTTATATATGTACATAACATAAATCAAACAACATTTGCTCATTCAAATGCTATAGACATGAAAGTGTCATCATCCAGAAGTGAATCAATATCGATAAGATCTTCATCACCTTCGCCTGTTTCTTCTGTCCTGTTCCCAGCCATATCACATGCCTACCAAAAATCACCATTGCAGAACATCTAATTAGTGTCTAAAACATCCAGTAGAGGTAACAACATCAAAAATCCAGGAACTTGGAATTTTTTTTTAGGATAATAGTCGTGTTATATGAGCTGCTATCATCAAGAAGCTGTGAAAGGAATTAATTCATCATATCAAACAGTAAGGCCGGTAAAGGAATTTATCACTCCCCCCACCCACTGACGACAAAGAGAAATACAGGAGGAGAGCTAGCTAATTATCTAGTCTAGATAATTATCCCAGGGCCACCGACCATGCACTTCAGCAAGAAAGTTTTAGACTGATTTTTTTATGCAAGATTCTCCTATAAACAACTGAAAACCCATACCATTAATTAAGAATCACATATCACTTTTAATATCACAAAATGACATAGATCCTAAGTTCTAGGCTTCAAGAGAGTACTTGGAGTTGTCTGCAAGCTGCTCATAAGAACAACACAATCTCTTTTCGTAAACAAAAAGATATAAACGCCTTTAAGTCGAAATAAAGCTACACTTTCTTTTTGCATCATGGCTTATCATGCATGTTTTTTTAAAATGTTCATTTAGCAATTCATCCTATACTTTTCTCTCTTCTAACAAACACAGCACAACAGCTAATTTTTAAATCAGTTTTTATCCAAACAAATAATTGCATAATTTCTATATTAGCACTTAAATGCTTTAAGCTTGCTTACAAGAAGATATTGGTTGGAGCACCCTTTTCTCAGCGGAGTTAAACAGGTCAATTCACTTTTTCTAACCCTGTATGGACCCTATAGGAATCAGGTTCAAAGTTTGTGTCAATGTATTTTTCTCTGTAATCTCGCATGTTCTATTCTGGTTGGTAATAGCTAATCCCCTGATCTCTTTGCGCCGGCACTCTCTTTGATAAATTTTTTTCTATAAAAAAAAAAGAGAAAAAGACCTCTAGGGATTTATCCGCACATTATGGATCTCTATGACAGTATGCATGTCTTATGTTGAATTAACCAACTAAGCTAAAGACAGAATTCAAGTCAGGTTGCTAATACCCAATTTCATCTAGGACGTAATGTTAGTTTATCACATACAATAAGCCAATTAACAGTAACCAAAAAGATGCATGAATGTAGTTATGTACCTTATTTTCACGGAACTCTTCAACAACAGTTAGCAGCTACGGTATTGTGCACGTCCTTCAGGATACTGAACCATGGACTTCACCCTGGTAAGGGCCTTTTGTAACCTCTCCTCAGTTTGTTTTCTTCCTTCTTTTAGAAAATCATAATCATCCTCTTTAGGGGATATGCATTCAGGATCTGGATTCTTAGGGAGTGCATCTCGTCTAAATCCTCGTAGCCCACTTCCTTTGCGTCTCCAACGCAGAATAACCTTCTCCAGAATCCCTACTGACCAAACAATTGCTCTATATTGTTTCCTTACCTGGTGTCCCCTTACATGAGCCTTCAAAAAATGAAAGATAAAATTCAGAACCAGAAAACAGAATTCATGCAGTACAAAATATATTAGCATTTTAAATTTCTACCAATAAGATCCAATTTAGAATTTCCTCCTCCCGATAAGTTAATATGTTATTTCATGCATTAAATAGTTAGTGGGCTGAAATTGGAATCCAAACTGTCCAGCCCCACGTTATAGCCTTATGCTATGCATTACCACAAATTGACCTCCATCAAAATATTACAGGCTCCAACAACATTGCCTGGGCAGTGTTTTGTGCACTCTTTTTTAAATAAAAAGTATCGTAAGATTCAGTAATTCACAAGCACCAAGGGGATGCCAAGGACAGTATTCTGTACACTAACATCATATAGATATAGAAAGCTTTAGTAGAAGATACCAAATGGGTACTAATAATTAGCCAGCCTAAAAATCTATATCTGATAAGAAAGAGAGTCCTATATGAGCCTGTCTTCCTTGGAATTGCGAACTATTGTTGCAAATTCCATTTTCTAAATAACCACTTAATTGTACTCAGACAGTAAAATTCTAGATGCAGGCAACGAAGAACCAGGAGCAGCATAACAAAGCCAACTGGAAGCACAATAAATATTTTGATACTGAGAAATGGATTAAAGAATGAAAAGAGAGAAATAAAGCAGCACTGGACCTGGATTTTAACAATTCTTTGCCTAATTAAGAGGAATTCTTTTCTCCTCTTCCAACCACGAAACTTTTTCTGGATATGTATTGCAGCAGCATGAGCTCGCCCATCACCTTGTACAGATTTGCGTGTCTTGGCAGCAATAAGTGAAACAGCACGCTCATCCGATATACCAAATTCATCATCACCATATTCAGTCAACTGCTTTCGTTGGAATGACTGCATCCTGAACACTTGATGTATTCGATCAGCAGCTTGTGTAGCATTACAGACAGCAGTAAGTGAATCTCTCAGTGAAAGTACATCTGGCACATCGCTATCATTTATAGGAGTTGCTGTTCGCTCTAAAACAGTTTGCACGACTTTTGCTCCAGAAGCTTCAGAGGTGCCATCTTCCTGCGGATCATTCATTGTAAGGGATTCGAGATAACTGGTAAGAGTAGACTCCGCAAGAAAACCAGAGATTCCTTTATGTCCATTCCCAGAAGCCAAATCAGCAGGTGTTCTCCCCAAAGGAAATTCCGGAGATGGATCTGTCAATGCTCCAGGAGCAGCACCCAGAGAAACAAGGATAGCAACTGTCTGCTCCCTATACTTCAGAATAATCCAAAGTTAGGAAAGGTTCAGATAACTAGTTTTTGTCAAACACAATCCAAATTAGAAAACTAGATTTAAATCATCACAAAAATATCAAAAAATTAGATTAAATAAGGACATATTTCAATACCTTGGAATTAATTTGTTAGCACATCCAACCTCTTCTCTTTTAATAGGAGTGGCACCCCCTTGGTGCCTGGTTAATACTGTTTCTTATTTTTCTATTATACAAGATTGACTTTCCACTTGCCAGAAAGGAATGCAAGATGATAAAGATAAATTATTAGAAAATTTTGGCACCTTTCTACATAGATAGTAGACTCCTTAGTATAGATGGACTATATTAAATGACAATTCACTTCACATAACAAAAGAAAAAGAATTCCAGTAGTTGGTTGAGTTCAAGGCTCTAATAAAAAAACATATAAGCTGCCTTCCAAACCGATGCAAAAGGAAACTAGAATTTTGTCAAATTTTCGCGCGCCCCCGGCAAAAAGAAAAAAAAAGAGGAAATTTAGAGTTATAAGAGGGTCAAAGAAAACTGAGTTAGAGGTCCTTGCCTGCCACAGAATGCAGCCCAATGAAGAGCAGTCCAACCACAAACATCTCGGAAATTGATGCTAACTCCAGCAGCTAAAATTGGTTTGACGGCCCAATCATAGCCAAGACCAGCAG